TGCTTAAGGTGGTATAAAATAGTATTTGTAATATTGTGTATTTATATTTACCTCAGCTTTCAAACAAACATTTAGGTAACGAAATAAATGTATAGGGACATAGTTTTGCTTGATATATACTTTTATAAGTGGCTCCCTTGCTGAAAATACGGCACTAAGCGCTACCAGCCTTAAGTTGACGCTCAGGAAAGATAAGAGCATACATATTGCATGCATGCATGCTTGGGACGTGCTGGACGATTTTGGCTGGTAAACAGTGGAACGTTTGGGAGACGCGATTCCAACGCAAAGGGTTAACAGATGACACGGCCTCGCATATGGTGACGAATCGGGTACGAGGGTGTTAAGACCACGTGCACATTAGCGAGCGATAAGCGACGATTCGTCTGACTGTGAATGGCGACGTGAGTGAGCGCGGCCGCCAAATGAGTCCCGAACGCGCGTAATTCAATAAAACCGCATACATCCGCGACGGACAGCTGAATGGTGGCATTACGGTGAAACACGGCGCATATTGGCGGGGTCGATTTTCCACGCTGCAGAAACACGGTCGCGCTTCACACGGGAGCCGCGAATAAACAACGGGGACGACTTTTCCCGCGATCGGCGTCAAATTCAGAAACTTGCACAAATCATCGCCGTTATCGATGCGTTGAATTACGCGCGACACCATCGAGCGTTTCGACAGTCGCTTTTATTTCCGACACCGCTCATCGAATCATTCCACACGTACGAGAAATGATTTCGATCCGTGAGTAAGTGAATGAGAGAATTCACTTTTAACCGTTCGGTAAATCGCTGATATGCGCGGAGCTTAATTCCAAAATGGATATACATGATTTTCACACTCATAAATGGATACACAGAGCGATTGAATGCTCCAATTGTCCTGTATCAGAAAAATTCGATACAATATAAATGGTTATCACACGTTTTGGTAATGACGGCTGTTTGTGAAACGCGCGATTCCGATAAAAAATTTTCAAGCACTTTTGTTGGACACTCGAAAACCTCGGTGTGGAACATAATATCAAGTAGTCAGAAATTACGGGATTTATGATATGATTTTAAAATATCGTTACGTACGTAGCGATAGAAAAATACCAGCGCATCCAAAGCTGTCAATTTCAGCGCGATGAAACAAGCGGCGAATTAACAATTTCGTACACAGAGAAAAAGGTTTCATTATATTTAATATTTCTATTTGACTCAGATTTGTTTCATAGAAACAACATATACTTATAAGAAATATTATTTGTTTGAAAACTCTATTATTTAACAGAATGAACGTTATTTGAAATAGTATCTTTTGACCAAATAAAAAATTATTTGACTACAATAAATATGTAAAATGAAACAAATAATTTCTTTGTGAAAAAATTATCTTTCGTTTCAAATAAATTTTTTATTTAAAATAAAGACACATATTCGTTGAAAAGTCTAACAATCGTGCTTGTTAATCGAAACATTAGTTTCTTTGGAGCATGCTAATGAAATTTGTTTGGATGCAATAAAATTTATTAAATTTGAAGGAATTTTTTCCTCAGTGTAGGGTAATGCACAACCCCAGTATCCATTTCAGAGTTAGCGGTGTGCTACGCAGAAAATTTTATGTCAAAAACGGACCATTGAAATTTTTGTATTGTTTTAACATGCAAAGAAATATATTAAAAAATACACAAATATATGTCAAACTAATATATTTACTTTGTTAACATATTATTTTCCAACATATTCACCTTTCAACATGTTCACGTGCACCATCGCTCATCGGCAAGAAAGTAAAGCCGAAAATTGAAATATATGAGCGCGATAATAAATGCGCTCATTATGAGATATTGTTACGTCACATAGGGGAACTTTCATGTGTGAAACTGATAATGCGCTGTCAAGGCTGCGGCATGAGAACGATCGTGAAAAAATCGTCGTTCGCTGTTATCGTGTTACGAAATGTTACCGATAGTTGGCCAGTTATAGTCGTTAGCAATTACTAACGAGAAAGAATGGCACACAGGCCGTGTCCGTCTGCACTTTTTTCTTTATGAAAACCTCGCCGAGGATCTCCGAATCAATGCCAGAATGGAAATACGATGTCCCGAAAATCTATGGCTGTCAAAATATCCGTGATATACGTTGAAGGCCGTCGTACGGATTTTAGAGCATCGCAATGTCACTCGTGACATCTTGTCAGAAAAGCAAATGGCGAAATCAATTTTTAGACGCAAGGAACTGAGGCGGGAGGATGAAAGGGGGAGAGAGAAAGAGTCTCGCAACGTTCGTTACTATTCCCGTTGCCGAAGTAAACTCGCCGTCCGTGTTGCACCGTCTGATTTCCACAGAAAGAACGAGATAGAATTCCTTTCTTGCGGAATAATAATTCAAACAGGCGAAATCTTTAAGCGAGCTAACAATAGATGCGATGAGAATTTCAGAATCAGTAATAGCGTTATTGAAAATTTACTCGATAATCACGTTTGTTCACATCGAATCGTGCGAATTCCTGAACGTTATTAAAGATTCACGAGATGCAAAAAGGAAATAGACATCAAAACGCGAAGTCGTAATACGCGTTTATCAAAAGCGATTTATCATTCACCGTCGACCTCGCTAACTCCAAGCGATTATTAACTCCTCAAGGTCTACTTCCGACTACATTTAAATATCTCATCTTAACGATCTGTTACAAGTAATCAACACAAATGGGAAGAGCGAACTGTCAATTCGCCAGAGGACTCGAGCATTTTTTTTCTCGAAATGCGAGCGTACTATCAAGAAGAGGATTTCGATTGGTGGTAATTTCGGGTACCCGATTATCTGGAGTACTCGTAGATATCCGAGTTTTCTAAGTATTTCCCAGGTAATCAGATATTTCTCAAATTACTCGGGGTTTCTCAAGCATCCGAGTATCAATTAGTTTATTCTCATTATTTCTTACATATATATTAAGGTAAACAATAAAAATCAGAAACTTTATGAATCATTTAGTTTTTATATTTGAGTATGTCAAAAAATGAAACATGAAATCTCGCAAAATACTTACTTTTTGTTGACTTTAATATTTTTGTATATAAGCAGAGTGATACAAAAAAAAAGTAGATTAAAAAAATATTTCTTATTTCTAAGTTCTCGGGTAGTACTCGTAAATTTGGAGGATATCCGTAGAAAATACTTGGTTTATACCAACAGCATTAATTTCGAACGGAAAACACCTATATGTCAGCTCTCGCAAAGTGCAAAAGTATTTATCCGTAATGGCGAGTCTTAGTTCGCAATGCATTAAAATGTCGCGCCACGCTGCTCTTCTCTCGTACAGGTCGATAATAAAAGTAAATTCTTCGCCATTAAGAAAGAAAGATGCGATCGTGGCAGCTAAAGCGCCAAGACTTAACGGCCTTATCGCTCGCGCTTTATCGGTCGTGACTGATAAGGAGTTTGCAAGCGTAAGACGGCGAAAGAGTCGAACAGGGTCGTAACAGGAGATACCTGCGAGATAAGAAGGAAGATAAATGCAAATAAAATAGCGGTGCGTTCGTGATTTCTTTTTTTCTTCATCCATTAATTGATCCATTATCTCGACGACATGTCGACGGAACGATAAGTATCGACCGGCTCAAATATTCGCAGGAGATAAATGGCGAGCATAGAAATGTTAAACTTCGTTTCACCACAAGAACCCTACGGTTCATTTTATATATTACGTTGATATTGCATATTTAATATAAATATATTACTCTGAAAATGTCGTGTATTATTGGCCCGACCGAATGTCGAAATATCAAATGTACTTGATAAACGTGGACTGTACGATATTACCGGGCCAATGGCAGGATTTTTGCGAGCCGGCTGGAAAAGAAACGCCGATAATAACTCGGGACGCAGAGAGGTTAATAATTCATTGATAAGCAGAACTCGAAGTTACGCAATCTTTTACGACCAGCCGCCCCACTCAGGCGCCCGCTAACACGGCTGAGTGCCGGGAATTCAACCTTTACGCTAATCATCAATAATTCTTGACCGTTTATGGGGTCACGTAGAAAAACGTAAGCGGTAAGATTCGAACAATAATCAAATGCTGAGATAAGCGAAAAGTGATAAAGATGTTAGACCAAGGCCTTAATACCCGCCCGAGCGGAACAGATCGCAAGAAACGGCGTACAACTTCCGAGCTTTGTTAATAAAGCGCATTCGTTGCAGTATAATACGTATAGGACGAAAAAAGGGAATAACCGAAGGAGAGGGAGACGATGAAGAGAGGGAGAATGTCAAAGCGCGACACGCGCTTAAGAATAATCGAATAATCGGCAGAGAGATCTCACGGATAACGGCACGAAATTAGCGCGAGCGACGTCCGAAAAATCAGAGGCATTGATTAAAAGAGCTGGTCGAGAGATGATGGGAGAATCGGGATTTTCTCTCTCTCTCTCTTTCTCTCGAGATAGCCGGAAGAGAGATGAGACCGGGAGAGAGAACCGAGAGATGCGTCGCAACGCGACGCGAAGGACGCACTGAGAGCCGTTCGAGGGAGGGAAGCTCGTCCGCTCGGTGGGGATGTGTTTTACTCCGGTGGGAGGCAGCGGGTGGCGAGTGAACGAGCGAGCGTAGGAGAAGGGAAAGAGAGCGACAGAGAAAGAGAGAGAGGGTACTCGTGTCGCGCGATAACCGTCGCCGAGGTGCAAACCAGCCGCGAATTCGAAAGGCGGCCAGTCGCTGTTTGCGCGTCGGCGGTGACGCGTCGCGGGTTCGCTCCTCGGCACGGGATCGAGGTAAAGTCTCGCGAGTCCTGCGCGAGGATACGCGAGTACATACGCGGAGCGATTCGGCGGTCGCGCGAGTGTCTCTCCTCGTTCGGCCGGCCGTTGACTAACGAGTGTTCTTGAGTGTCTCGATGAGAGAGCGTGGTAATGTTGCCGCGAGTGAAGGAGCCCCCCCCCCCT